TTGTGTGGAATTTTCATGCCATTGTGTTAGAAAGATTATCGCCAATGTATCTTCTTAGTTTGAGGTCAACCACGTGGTTTGCCTTGTACTCTCATGACCCTTTTTTTTTTGACCTGATGTGCCTCTCATGACATGACTTTGGGTGTAGGAGAGAATAGAATGAAATTATATTATGTGATAATCAAACAATCAATAACAAGGACTTGATGGCCTAGAAGCTTCGTCGGAGCACTGGATGAGGGCCCAATCTTGGAAATTTAGAGAGCCGACCTGAGCTGACAAAGGGGGCAGAAAAAACCAAAGGACATGCCTAAATACAAACATATAGCTGGGAAAATAGAATGCTCTGGGAATGGCGGACAAAGACAATTTGACTTTTACTGGCAGTTGAATTGCGGGTAGCATTAGAAAACGTGGAAGACAATCACTGGGGAATCCCCCCAGCAGCCCAGAGTGCTTCATACCCATACAATATGAATGCTCACCCTCGCTAATATGTGTCAGCTGACTTCATCCATGTGTGAGCCACGCCATTCACATGTCCCACAACACCGTTGCTTTTGTTTCCCGAAACTCACAAGTTCCAATCTTACATGATTATTTTGAACATTCATAGTTTATAGTTTAATCATTTCTTTCAAGTACTTTGTTTTCATCCCAGATGTAAAACCCTAAAGTATAATTTTCCCCCCGAGTTATATTTACTGGTTATACATATTAAAGGAATTTTTAACAATAAAAATAATAGTCCAAAAAGAGTGTTTTAGAAAAAAAAAAATAATACATATTTTTAGTAAATAACTAATTTTATAATGCTTATAAATCATCTATTTAATCTGATTTATATATTTAAAATTGAAAAAAAGTGTTTTTTTCCCTTCTTGAAATGTTGACTTCGGTGATCGGCTTGGTACTTTCTAATATTAGTATTTAATAATACTTTAATTATAAATCCAGATGAAACCAAAAAAAAAAGGCATGATTATATATGATTGAAAAATTTGACATAATAAATATAAGAAACTTAACCTAATTTTTTTGTTCATAATTTAAATAGCTGCAGTTTCAGAAGCGCAACCAGACCATTCTTAATTATTCTGTTTAGTTGTGGATGACTGGTGGACCGTAGATGTCTAAATTTTTCTTTAAAAATTTTATTTGTGGTCACTTCGATTCTCACCGTTCATTTCATTTTGTTTTTCCCCGCCTGCTTCAGTGCTTTATACATATTTATCTCCCATATCTCTATTTAAAATAAATATTAAATAATAATAATGTTAAAAAACTGGGAAAAAGATTATTCCTGAGTGATCACATTGTCAAGGATAATCACGCAGCAAAAGAAAAGAAACGAAAAGACGCCAAAATATGAAAGCAAACAAGAGATGAAAAGATGCCAAAGCACTAATGGTTGAAGTGGCAGCTAAAGTATAGCCACTGGTTTTTGGTCTTCGAACAAAATTATAATCATCCCAAAAGGAAAAAAAAAAATCTCAAAAGATGCAATCATTATATTCGTTTGCTCTTCGCCGTGATGATGGTGTCATATTAAACTAAATAGTAAGATTTTTTTTTTGGGCCAACTAAGAGGAAAATTCAATTTACATATGCACTCATAAGGAACTACCGTGTGAAATATTTAACGCGAGCATTTTAGAGTGGATTTTAAATTTGTTATTGCATGTTAAAGAAATTTAATTATATTTCTTTATCAGCAGATGTGTGGTTGCCAAAAAATAAATAAATAAATAAGATAAAGCATATATTATATAAAGCCAAGCATGAGATGAACACGTGTAATCAGACGAGGATTCGTACAGCTGATATGGTCCGAATCTTTGGTTGGATCTGAGTGCTTGAAGCATAAATGCATCGCGTGGCTTTGTGGTTAGTGTGGACTCCTGAACTTGTTGCCGTCCATTCCCATTATAAATGGGTATGGATTCCAACTATATTTTCTCAACTAATATATTAAAACAATTAACGTCGTTTAAAATAAAAACATAGCAGCAATTTCTATATTAGTATATAGGTTTGAAGCCCTGTATTTTTCTCATAAATTTTGATGTAATTAAAATGAGAGAAAGACACTCGTTGGCAAAAAAAAAAGAAAAAAAGAGAAAGATACTCATGAACCATGAGATAAAAAGACTTTAATAGCAACTATAATGTTGGAAAACTAAAAATTATCTGAAAAGATATAATTCTAAATATAGCAATGTATTGGTTCTAGATAACTTGTGAAAAAATCACACGCTCGCGCACGTGCATTTACTTTTTAAACAAAGTATATTTAACGCAGCTCTTGGATCTTTCGGCTGTCCTGCGAACGCTATTTTTATTATATTTTTCTGGCTATTTCTTATGCATTAGTTACAGCATACTGCTGGTAAAAAAAAAAAGGTTACAGCATACTTTCATGAACATAGAGAGTTGTGCTTTGATGTGAGCATGGGCATATATTTCTTTCTGCTTATTAGAAGGCTTATCCATCTGTCCCATTAAAGTTCAGGGGTGGTTAGATTACTAAATTTGTTTGAAAATAAAAATTTAAATTTATTGATACTTAAAACTTCGAAGTGAAAAAAAATTAAGGCTATTGTTAGCCCTTATAATTTGATCGAATTTTGATTCTAATTTATGTAGAGTTTCAAATCATTAGTTTGGGTTTTATGGTTTCATAAGGATTGGGCTTGTGATCAAAATTAAAACTCACTAAAAATATACGGATCATTTGTTAAACTTAGAACAGATTCTTATGAAATTAAAGAGATCAAAACTAAATTTCTATCAAAATATAAGAACTAATAACCATATTAAAAAAATTATACTCTTCTGGTTCTTAATATAAGATCTATTTAACTAATTTGATTAGATTAAAGAAGTTAGGTAAGTTGGTTGATTATAAGAAATATAACATATTTTTCTAAAACACCATAATCATTTTTTTTATAGCCTCCATCCCTCGCCTACTTGATTATATTTGAGAGAGTGTCTATAAGGGTACTTTAGAAAAAATTGATAAATATGAGAAATGGGTCATATATTTAATACTAAAATCGACTTAACAATTAGATCTTATATTAAGGATCGAAGGAGTATCAAATTCTAAATTCTAAATAAGACCAATTTTAAATGTGAATTTGTTTGATTATTTAAAGTTTTTTTTTATTTTTATCCTCAAATCATTACACATCTCTCTCTCTCTCTCTTTTTAATTCTCTCCCACCTCTTTTTTTTTTTTACTCATTCTCTCTTCCATTTATCCTCTCTATAAACAAGTATATTTTAGAAAAATAAGTTATGGTTTTTTTCCATATTTATTACTAAAATATATTTTAAGTTGAAGGATTAGATTTTAAGGAGAGAAGATGAGACCGAGATACTGGCGATGGCGTCTTTGTATCCAGCAAATGAACGGTTATGATGATGGCGGCTTTGACAACAGAAGGAGATATGAGGGAATATTTTGTGTTTGCTGATTTATGTTTTCTTTCTAAAAACTTCAATCATTTTTGTGAAATTTTTAGCATTCAAATTCTTTCTTTCCTTTTTAAACAGTGTTTGCGTAACAATGTCATTTGTCCTATTAATAATTTGCCGAAAAGGCAGGTACTGTTGCTGGAGACGGCCCCACCTTCAAAATTAAAAACAAAACTTTTCAAAAAATTCTCATATTGCCGACGCCGTCATGTCGTCTTTCTTTAGATTCGGCATCCTGTGGCGGTGCCATGCCATGCCAGCATCGAATATATATATGTAATGTAACTTTGCAAGCGCCCTGTTTAGTTTTCTATATCAAACGACACTTAAATTAGTTGATACAGTATTTGTTTGTCAATTTAATTTCTTTTTTATCTTTCTTTTTTAAAAATAAATTAAAATATCAAACCCTGGCCTTCTAGTTTTAATTGGCCACTTTCATGTGTTTCTAAAATACTTATTCATATCTATAATTTTTTTTTATTTTATACCGTAACAACAATAAGTCTTATTTCACTAAATAGGGTTAGTTACATGAATTACACCACATCACTGTGTTCTATCAACTTCTTTTTTATTTTATGCATATTGAAATGTTTTTTTACATCTTTCCTTTGCTTGTAATCGTAATAACATAAAACGTTGGGCATGTTAAAGCAACATTGTTGTTGTTGTTGTTCTTGCTATTCCAAAAACAAAAATTTGACTCAAAAGCAAATTGTTATCAAAACTTAACGGTCAACTTCTTATCCCGAAAAGTCAAGTGTCCGTTATGTGATTTTGTCACAGGCCCGTAAGCAGATGTTTTTCTCATGAAGGTGGGCTAGAAAATATTAATAAAAAATATACATTAACATAAACTGTACTTTTATATTTTTTTTTGGGTGACATGTACATAAACTATATTTCAAATACAGAAATAGTAGGATGGATTAAAAAAAATACAGAAATAGTAGGGAGCATACATGTGGCCCCTTGAGTTTACTAAAAACAAAAAAAATACCATAGCATCAAGACTCCGAAGTGGAGATCAAGATAGACTTCCCCACAACTTTCATAGCAGTGAAATTTTTTTCTCCCCAAAACATTTCATTTTTATCAATGTGAAAATAAAACACTTCGAAAAACCTATTCATTATGACAACCTATCACACCAAGACCCTACCAGAGTGAAGGCTATCATTTCAAATTATAAAGGTCAGCGAATTAGTTCAAGATATTTAAACAAAGATATTTTTTTTTATAACATTTAAATAAAGACATTTTAATATGTATTTTGTGGGGGAAAAAATGGGAAGGCACTAACGATTGATTCCCACGTGCTACCCACTTAACGCAGAGCCAACTTGCAAATATAGCTCTAACGGGTAAGATTCTGCAGGTGCAGAGAGTCGCTTCTTCTCATTGGAGCAAAGTTGAATCTCCGATGGGGTGGGGTCTTGCCTCTTACCATTCAACCAATGTTTGTCTCTGTCTCTCTCTCCCTCTCCTTCTCCTCCGCCCCATTTCTATTTGCGTCACTGCCCTGTTCATAACAGCCATCATTATCGCCGTTTATAACACGTTCGAGAATAGAAAATTGAATAAATAAGAGCAAAAATATCTATCCTCGAATTTTTGAGTTTTTCTATCCCAAAAACCTGTATGCATCTCGCTTGTGCTGAAAACTCTCATAAGTTGGCGGGCTGCTAGAAAGCAATATATGATTCTTTTCTTGAGCTTTCGATGCTGTAACTTCGCTTTTCGGCTCATCCTCTGAGTTCCTCAGGCCTTCAGCCACATGCATAGCGGAGGGCTCAAAACTATTCCAAGCTTTTTTCTCAGTGTTTGGTTTTGAGGTAATCTTAGATGCTCTCCTTCTCTTAGATTGTTCTTGAGGTCTCTTTTGGTCTCCTATGCATTATTAAATGATTAAATTAGCCATGTGGGTCTTCGCCAACTTATTTATATAGCTCAAAGTCACCTCTTTGGAATTTCTGAGCTTGATTTGCTGGTCTGGCAGCCTAATGGGAATATTGAAAGCAAAAGTACGAATATCTTCATACCATGGATTGTTAATTTGAGTAACTGGGCATCTCTTTTCTAGCACGAAATTTCTAATTTCTCATACACACTGCCGAATCTAGTTTAAGGTGTATGTTTTCTACCTAAATAAGTCATTTTGAATCTTGGGACTCCTTGGTTTTTAGTTGATACCGAACAGGGTGCTATTGTGCTGTATTTCTCTTCTTTCTGCCAGGATTTGTTTGTTTTTCCTTTGTTGTTCATCTCCGTGCTCCTGAAGGGGTTCGCACTTGACAGGTGCTTAGCTCTCGGAGGACTTTTCGAGTTTTTTCACCAAAGCGGAGGGGCTCTTGATTGCAAGGTTAGGTCCAATGGTTATGGTGAGGTTACTATTCCTCCTGTTTTTCTGCCTGTGTATTGCCACAGAAGTGGTGGCTAGAGCTGGAAATACCATTACAAACCAGACTAAAGTTCCTCCGAGGCCAAGCGTTGTGAGAATCGGAGCACTGTTTACTTTCGATTCGGTCATTGGGAAATCAGCTAAACCTGCAATTTTAGCTGCCATCGATGAGGTTAATAACGATACGAGCATTCTTCCTGCTACGAAAATGGAAGTTATTTTACATGATACAAACTGCAGCGGGTTTCTCGGCACAGTGGAAGGTATCAGCCATAACTTGCATTTGGTAGCAAGATGCTGCTTTTCTTCGATCAACTGAAGCAGGACATAAGATAATTGTTTTTATTTTGGTAGAAAGTATGAGTTAACTGTGATTTCTTACTAGTCTCCGTCTCATTTTATTTTCTTAACACAGTTGTCGTTTGAGTTCTAGATATAATCTTCCTGTTGTTTTGGACCATTCTTTATTGGATATGTTTCAGTCTGCAAATATATTCAAGTTCATTTTTTTCTCTGTCAGTCTTGCATGTGGAATATCTACTAGTTCATTTTTCATTCCTGCCTAACGTTACTGAGCTCAAAATAAAGCTGAGGATTCACAACCCATTAAGTGTTACCCTGGTTGTTTTGTTATTTTAGTGCATAGAAGGATAGGCTGATAGGGAATCATTTGGTGAGCAATAACCTGGATAGTTGTTTGATTTGAAATCATTGCTGACATTTTTGACAGTCTTTAACTTCGAACACGTTCCATGGTATGGAATCTGAGGGATGAATGTGTCTGTGTTATATTTATCTCTTATCATATTATCTCCTTTATGTATGTGAGCGGAAGGAGAAGTAAACGAGCTTGACAGATTTTCCTGATCGTGTAGCCCTGCAGTTGATGGAGAATGATGTGGTTGCTGCTATTGGTCCACAGTCATCTGGGATAGCTCATGTCATCTCTCATGTTGTTAATGAACTCCATGTGCCTCTTTTGTCATTTGGGGCTACAGACCCTACTCTTGCTTCTCTGCAGTACCCATATTTCGTCCGCACTACCCAGAATGACTATTTTCAGATGAACGCAATCGCAGACTTGGTTGACTACTTTGGTTGGAAGGAGGTGATTGCTATCTTTGTAGATGATGATAATGGAAGAAGTGGAATATCAGCTCTGGGTGACGCACTTGCGAAGAAGCGTGCCAAGATCTCTTATAAGGCTGCTTTCACTGCTGGAGCCCCTCCAAGTAATATCAGTGACTTGTTGAATGGGGTAAACTTAATGGAATCACGGGTCTATGTTCTCCATGTGAACCCTGATAGTGGTTTGTCCATTTTTTCTATTGCGGAGAAAATTGGTATGATGGGCAATGGTTATGTCTGGATTGCAACAGATTGGCTTCCTTCAGTTCTAGATGCATCAGAACCAGCTGATCCTGACACAATGAATCTCTTGCAAGGGGTTATCGCCTTGCGCCATCATACTCCTGACACTGATCTCAAGAAGAGGTTTATCTCTAGGCTGAAAAACAGTAAAGACAAGGACACTAAAAGCTTTAATTCCTTTGCATTATATGCGTATGATTCAGTTTGGTTAGCAGCACGTGCTCTTGATGCATTTCTTAATGAGGGTGGAAATGTATCTTTCAGTAGTGACCCCAGATTGCATGACACAAATGGAAGCATGTTGCATTTAGCATCACTTCGTACATTTGATAGTGGCCCACAGTTTCTCCAGAAAGTCTTGGCAACGAACTTCACCGGTGTAACTGGTCAAATTCAGTTTGATGGGGACAAGAATTTAATCCATCCAGCATATGATATTCTAAACATTGGTGGAACTAGCCGTAGAATTGGTTATTGGTCTAATTACTCTGGCCTGTCAGTTGTAACACCTGAAACTTTATATACAAAACCGCCTAACATGTCATCTAGCAATCAACATCTTTACGGTGTGATATGGCCAGGAGAGACTACAGCAACACCCCGGGGATGGGTGTTTCCCAACAATGGAAAGCCACTGCGAATAGCAGTACCAAACCGAATAAGCTATCTGGAGTTTGTTTCCAAAGACAAAGACACCCCGGGAGTAAAAGGTTATTGCATTGATGTCTTTGAAGCAGCCTTAAACCTGCTACCATATCCCGTCCCACGACAATATATATTATATGGAGATGGTCGCAGAAATCCGAGCTACAATGCACTTACAAATTCAGTTGCTCAAAATGTGAGTTTATAAATCTCATGGGGGAAACTTGGATGCGGTTTTTCTTTCTTTGCTATGTGGTTTTCACATAAAAGGAACTGTATTTAAGCCCTGTCCAAATATGTGGTTTTCCCATAAAAGGAACTGTATTTAAGCCCTGTCCAAATTTAAGTTTTGATTTTAATTTACTAATTTTCTTTCCTACAATAGGAATGATAGTATTTGGCCTAGCAAGGTTTAGAGATTGACTGGGATGAATTTACTAACTGACTGCTTGGTTCAAAATCTAGTAGTTATGTTTATCTTTTTCTTTTTAGAATTTTGATGCAGCTGTTGGAGATGTTACAATTGTCACAAACAGAACAAGAATTGTGGATTTTACTCAACCTTTCATGGAATCAGGGTTGGTTGTAGTTGTTGCTGTTAAGGAGGAGAAGTCAAGCCCTTGGTCATTTCTCAAGCCATTCACTGCACAAATGTGGTGTGTCACCGGTGCCTTCTTTCTCTTTGTGGGAGCTGTGGTATGGATCCTTGAGCACCGTCTCAATCATGAGTTTCGTGGCTCTCCAAGGAAACAACTCATGACCGTTTTTTGGTTAGTATGTTCAATCTATGAATAGCCTTTTTTATCTGAGTCTATTAGAGAATGATAGATGCCTCTTATGAACCTCGTGATTTCTAAGGAGTCAATGACATTACTTATCCTGGTATTGCGTATTAGCACATTATTTTCTTCTTGTATTGTGGGTTGCTAGTCGGAATTGAGGTAAATTGGTGGCATATCCTGGCAACACTCGAGAATAATATAGTGTTTCAAACTGTCCGAGCTGTATGCCATATTTTTAGTTTTAACACAGTAACTTTCCGTTTTGCAGGTTTAGCTTCTCAACAATGTTTTTCTCACATAGTATGTATCTTGTCCTTTTATCTTCATTCAATCATTGTCAGGTACCTGGTAAAAAACTCTGACATCTTCGCTGTATTGGCCTGATGCAGAAGAAAACACTGTGAGCACTTTGGGGAGGTTGGTTTTGTTGATATGGCTTTTTGTGGTGTTAATCATCAATTCAAGCTACACTGCTAGCTTGACATCGATCCTCACAGTAAAGCAACTATCATCACAGATTGAAGGAATTGATAGCTTGATTTCAAGTACTCAGCCTATTGGAATTCAAGAGGGGTCATTTGCACGGAAGTATCTGATAAATGAGCTGAATGTAGCTGAATCTAGGATAGTGATTTTGAAAAACCAGCAGGATTATATTGACGCCCTTCAGCGTGGACCACGGGCTGGAGGTGTGGCGGCAATTGTTGATGAGCTTCCTTATATTGAGATATTAATGTCTAATACTAAGTGTAAATTCAGAACTGTAGGTCAGGAGTTCACTAAGAGTGGATGGGGATTTGTAAGTATCTTCATCTGTATACTTATCTTTAAGATTCCTGAAAATTTTAACCGTTAGCATTGTGTGATATGTAAAATTTATGCTGGTTCTTCTGCTTTGAATGCACTAAATTGTTGGAACTTCTTTAAAAATTGAATGAAAGTTGGTATTTTCAATAAATATATGAAGAATGATTGGCTCCAAGAAAACCTATGAAAGAATACTAGGAAACATTCTGACCAGGCTTGGATATTTGTTTTCATGGTTTGTCCTTGATGACAGGCATTCCAAAGGGACTCTCCCCTTGCTGTGGACTTGTCAACCGCCATTCTTCAACTCTCGGAGAACGGGGACTTGCAAAAGATCCACGACAAATGGCTCTCAAAATTTACCTGTGCTGCAAAAGTGAATGACGTTGATTCAAACCAGCTCTCTCTCAACAGCTTCTGGGGCCTCTTTCTCATGTGTGGGATTGCATGTTTCCTTGCTCTAGTTGTATTCTCTATCAGGGTGTTCTGTCAATATATGAAATTCATCCCAGACAGCGAGGAGGCTGAAGAGCATATTGAGCCTGCCAGTGCCAGATCCACCAGCTTCAAGAGCTTAATTGATTTTGTAGATAAAAAGGAAGCCGAAATAAAGGAGATTTTGAGGAACAAGGGTAAGAAACGACGGCGCAGCCAGAGCTTAGACAGGAACTCCAATTATTCAAACAGCTAAGTTACTCTGTACAGTTTTTGTTGGCGTGATCCTTATATGTATATTTTCCTTAATTCAGCATGAAACCGTGCTGCGAGAATGTCATTGACACCGCAAACTGTAAAGCACTATAGGATTTGCTTAAAGAAGCTTGAACTCAAGTTAGCCATGAAGCTATTCAATTATATTATTCATGGAGCCAATGATGTGTTACTATCCTGGAAAAATGTTAGCATGATGCATGTTTATTCAAGAATAATGCAACTATTTTATAACTCCAGGGTATACTGCACTAGGGATTAAAGAAGAGAAAAGGAGGAAACACTATCACCATAATCAGCATCTTTATATCCCCAAGTTGAGTTTCTTATGGTGGTAAAGTGAAATTGATTAACAGGGGGGTGGCTTGTTAGGCCAACTGTTTTCAAGATCTGATGCCTCTCATTTTCAATCATTTTGAATAGAAAATTCCATGGTCATGCTTCCACCATCTTATCCACTTCTAAATAAAATATTACTCCCTCTAGTTCTATTTAAAAGCTTTTAAATTTGAAAAAGAGTGTGGTTTATTTTATAAGTCTTAATTTGGGTTTGTGTTAACATTTATTGCATTTTTTTCAATGTTGCTCTTAATTATTTCTTTCTTATCATGTTTTTTCACACATTTTCTTTCATTATTTTTCTCATTTATTATAAACACATATTTAAAATAAAAGTATATTTTTAAACCTGATTATTATTTTTAACTAATTTTAACTAATGATTTGTTATCTGTGAATTAATTATTTGAAATTTGTAATAATGAGAAGGCGGTAGTATTTAGGTTTGATATTGGGTTTAAATTTGGGCCTTATGTGCTGAAGCTGGTGGAGACTTGTAATTCCTTGATGTTCCACTATGGATATGACATTGACAATGATAACCCGGTCCGAAGAAATACACAAACAATAATGATGATAATGACTTTTCAGATGTGCACGAGGTTAGTTTCTGTGATGAGGATAAGGTATGATCATGGCGTGAGTAATGTTCAGGGTAACCGAATTATTCGTTGAATTCGTCGATGCAATGACTTAAGAGTCCATCCCCAATTTGAACAATCTGGTCATGATTAAAAAAGTATAGTATAATTTAAATATGCAAAAATACCATTAGATAACCATCGAAAATTGATACTCCGATCCTTAATATAAGATCCTGTTTGACTTTTATTTTGATCCTAAATATAAGACTCTAATTCGCTTTGTCTCTTGTATTTATATATTTTTTTCCCAAAATAACCCTTTTAGCAATGATAGTTCTAGTCAATACATTTGATTAGCAAGGATATTTTAGAAAATACAACACCTATTTAGGACAAATAACTAACTCAACTTACTTTCTTAATCTCCTCAAATTAGTCAGCTGGCTCTTATAATTAGGACCGGAAGCAGTACGTAAATTAAAAAATGCATTATTTCATAAGTAATATTTAAATATCATGATTTAGATTATAAAAGTAAAACAAAAATTGTTACAAAAGTAATTTACCAAAAGCACGAGAAAAGAGATATAGAAGATGGAGGAAATGTTGTGGAGGGATAGAATGGGAACACGTGTTCATTGTGGTCATGCCCTGCTCCATTGTCTTATTATTCTCTGAAACGCAACCGAAGCAGTGTATGCTTTTTGTGTTTCAGACAAAAAAGCAAAAGACGTCAGGACAGTGATTCTTAATTTGTCGAGAAAATCAAGTAGGTGGCAAGATATTATTGATCCCACACCCACACTCCCATGAAATCCTGCCACCTGGCATGCTACTCCCCACAATCCCTTTCAACTCCCCTCAACGACCATGTGCCTTTTCACACCCCCTTTGCTCTGCGATCACACGTACTCTCGGCATTAACCAAGCAATATAAATAAATATATATTCATTTATTTTATTCACTCGTGGTTAAAAAAAGAGTCGTTTGCACTGATTAAAATATATTCAAAGAATGCCATTCATGAGCAGCTAAATCAAGCAGTATGAAATCTTTTATTTGGATTAATTTTTTAAAAATAACTTTAAGAATTTCAAAATAAGTAGGGGTTTGTCTTCACCTTCTTAATAAAATTTTTAAAATGTTTTTTTTTATGTTTTCAAACATTTCCAAAAATTTGACGGAAATCAATGAAAATATTCAATAAAATTTTGAGAAAAATATTTTAATTAATAATTTATATAAAAAATTGGTTATTGATAGAGCAAAGGACTACCTCTGATCATAAATATAAGACATCGTTTGTAGTCTATAAATAATATTTTATATTTAGGATTGGATGTACTGCCTCTAATCCTACATATAAGAGTTAGTTGACTAATTTAAGTAAATTAAAAAAAATTAAGTTAGTTATTTATAATAAATATGTGTTGTCTTTCTTAAAATATTCTTACTAATCAAGTGTATGGCTAGAACTACTATTTTTTGAATGACTATCTTAAAAAAAAAATATAAATGTGAAAGTCAAAATAGATTAGAATTTTATATTTAACACAAAAATAAAAATGAAATGAAGTCTTATGTAGTAGTAAGATTTTTTAATTCATATAACCAACCCTATCTCATGAGATAAGTTCTATTACCTTTACTCTTAATTATAAGACTGTGTTTATAGTCTATAAATAAGATTTTATAATTAGAATCAGAATTAGTATTATTGCTGTTGTTAAGATTATTGGCATGTATAGTCTATATTTAATGGAAACTAGACTGGGTAGTATATTTTTATGGCGAGGATTTTTATTGAACAGAAAGGGAATGCGCATGGTGGGTTGTGAAACAGGAAGCATCCCCTGGTTTTAGTGAGGCACGCAAATCTGATATTTGGAGGCTTGTCGAATTTTCCGGTCAGTCGTTTCCCGTTAAAGTTAGTGACTTTGATGGCAAAAACTAAAAAAAGTCGTTGTAACTGAAATCATTTCAATTTCAAATTTTAATATAGTTGGTAGGGGTGGGATCCTGAAATCCCCAAACTACCCCACGTTTTCAGCATATCATAGCGTCACAAGCTCGGCTTTACTTTTTCCTATGGCCGAAAACAGGCTTGAAGAAAAGCTTTTTTTTCTCACCTGAGCTTGAGGCCATCATCCCTTGAAAAAAAAAAAAAACTCAAAATTATGGCTAAGGTTTGCCGGAAAATCTCCCGTGTCACCCTTACTGATCGGGTTGAACACCGCATTTCCGGTCTCCGGCGACGCATTCTCCGCCTTCTCCAGCACTTCTTCCTCTGTTCCGGAGGGAAGCCTTCCAAGTATCTCATGCTCCCACATTTTGCCGAGCCTCCTTCCGCCGGCGGGGTTATTCATGACGAATCGGGGCAGGGCTCGCTATCTCAATTTCACACGCCTGATTCGGACTCCGATTTGGTTGCTCTCAAGATCAGCCTCCTGGGGGACTGCCAAATAGGAAAGACCAGTTTTCTGGTCAGTCTCTTTATTAACAAACAAAATTTGAGAGTACGAACCTCCAATTCATTGTTTTTGTAATTAATTTCTATTTTGCTGTTGTTTGAAGGTGAAATACACAGGGAGTGAACATGAACAGGGAAGCCAGGCGAAGAAGGGATTGAATCAGAGGGACAAAACTTTAGTCGTGGAAGGGGCACGTATATCGTATTGTATCTGGGAAGTAGAAGGTAGAGAAAAGCAAAAACTCTGGTAACTGGTAATTTTTGGCATAAATCGTGAGAAAAACAAAAACGAATCACTGAAATATTGTTCTTAATTGATACTCATGTAGGTGGTGGAAGGTCACAGGACCAGATTCCATTGGCTTGTAAGGACTCCGTGGCAATCTTGTACATGTTTGATCTAACAAGCCGTTGTACGTTAAACAGGTACCTTAGTTCTTTGAAAATTTGATTAATTCATGATTATCAATCGTGCTTCGTGCACCTCATTTTTTAGGCTGAAATTGTTTCAATATGATTCCTTGTCTGGAACAGTGTGATTGGGTGGTACAAAGAAGCCAGGAAATGGAATCAGGTAAAGTATATGAGACATCAAGTGTTGATTCAGTTGGAAGTATACATGGTTGAAGAACTCTTATTAGTTTATTTTAATGGTATGTGTTTGCTTTTGTAGACTGCAATTCCAGTGATGATAGGAACCAAGTTTGATGATTTCATTCAACTTCCCATAGATTTGCAATGGACCATCGCCAGTGAGGTACATATTTCATTTTTTGGGCACTACAACGAGAAATAGTTTTCCGCACTTTGGTTATCTTTCAAGATACCTAAATTTTTTTATATGTATTTCTAATGATATTATAATTTAATCATTTTTTAAAGAAAAATTATGATGTAACTTCATCTTTTCAACATCAACAAACTCACAGCCGATCCATCTTCCAAAAGTTTCTAGGACGGTATATATTCTTGTCCCGCGGACCAATTCTTAGAAACCTACAGAATCATGCCGTGCTGTTGGAGGTTTTAATCGAGAATGTAGATCTTGTCAATTCATGAGAGAGAGACTTGAATGAAGAAAGGAATCTGGATGAGCTGTGTTACACATGGTGTGCATGTGGATAAAAAAGAAGAAGATTGAGATAAACTCTATCCATTTTGATTGCTTTGTATCACTTTCTTAAAGATCATGCTTGGAAAATACGCTACTTCTGGTCTTAATGCCGCACTTAGACAATAAAGAATCTGCAAAGTCCAAAGCAAGAAGTGATGATGTTATTTTTAATTGTACAGGCAAGAAGATACGCAAAGGCCATGAACGCAACACTCTTCTTTTCCAGCGCTGCCTACAACATCAACGTGAACAAGATCTTCAAGTTCATCACAGCCAAACTGTTCGACCTGCCATGGACACTGGAACGAAATCTAACTGTTGGTGAGCCCATCATAGATTTCTAGTCTGTACGTACAAATGTGGTTCAATCTGTATGTATTTTCTGCTCAAGTCGTCAAAGCCAACCGGCCACGAGAAGCCCACGCATCTCTCTCGCGGCATTCGAGTTGTTTAGTTTTCCGTGAAGTAGACCAGAAATAAGGCAAGTTAACCCCATCATCACTTTTGTCCATTACTCAACTTTCACTGCCCGGTTAGGGAATCAATCAAATAAAATAAAATCATCACAGGCTCACACAGTTTTCTTCGCAAAATCTAATATCACCGAGAAACAACTGCTAATGCAGAATCTGGACTAACTAAACATGAAGAATGGCAATGTGTGTTTTGGAACTTCATTGGTCTCATCAAGTGTCTGAGAGTTTATCTTCATGTTAGCAGAAGTTGACATTTATGGACCACAAGAAAGCATCCATTTACAAATTCTGTTTCTGAATGCATCCGTCCCTGCACAATCCTTATTGCAAACAGGCATATGGCTCTGCAGAAATCTTCACTGTAATATCCCGCAAAGTCACGAGCAGTGCAAAAAATTAAAAATTCTCGACGATTCAGAGAGGAGAAAATATATGGACCCTGGACATGGATAGATAAATATCGGTTGTCTAAGCTAAAAGCGGAGGACAATCTCTGTGTAAAGGCAAATAATTATTCTGATCTCAGATCACTTGATATGTACTACTGTTGAGTTGTTAATGAAGCAACTGGCCAGAAGCTGGCGCCACGAAAGGGTTTTTAATTTCAAAGTAATTTATGTTAAATTGTGAAAACAAGAGAGAGTGTGTGTAGATGATATGAGAGAACGAAAGTAAGATTTAAGAACACGATGCAAAAATGTTATTCGAAAGCGAGAGTAGAATATCAAAGTGCAGTTAGATAGCAGCAACCTCCTCCATTCAAGTCTGTATATATATATATATATAAGTGTGATCTAAAAAGATTGAGACACATTTAGATACCCTCACAACTCGAGTTAAAAGATGGAAAAATCACAAAAGAAAAAAAAAACTGACAATTGTGAATTTGCAAATTAGGTATTTTGTAAAAAATTTTAAAACCTATACAAGTTTTGTGACAGGTCTTAATTTGTGATTTTGCAATTTTTACGTTTTTTTTAATTTTTCCTTAAAAGATTGTGTTAGAAATTCGGAGGGAAAAACAGAATCTGATAGAATGAAAAAGCAGCCTTATACATAATTCTATCAACTTCATCTTCTCAATTCCATTCTCAAGTTATAGAAGAGTTGGCAACTAGTGAGCAAAATTTAATATAGGATAAGAATATTAAGAAGCATAAAAGCTATTTCACATTCATAAAATCAATCCTCTCATTCACTTCTTTAATTCTTTTTCCGTTCCACAGTCATTCGGTTGCCCGCAGACAAAATAACGGGGCCGGTCGATTGGCCGAGCTCTTGTTTTGCTTTCTCCAGAAATAAAAAAGACAGACAAAAAATAAAAAGTGGAATCAGCCTAACAACGATTTAAAGCTCCTTCACAAGTTACGGGCCTCCAGAGGCCCACAGCTGATCGTTTGGCAAATCACTTGAATCAATGATCTGGCCCACATCATAGAGGAGAGAGGGACTCTCTTTCTATTTTCTATCTCCCAATCGAATAGTGCCACTGAAGCCACGATGAGTCATAGCTCCTATCATGCAAGGCCACGTGTTCGGCCACACTTTCCCCTCTGGAACCCCCAATGTTCCGTTCAGAATCTGCATTCTACCAAAACAATACAAAGAGTGGCCGGAGAATAGAACGGCCTTCTTTTCCCGGGAAATGGGTTTTGCGGTAAAAGTGATAGACGCCGTTATCTTCCTATTCTTGCTGGTAATAGCTCTGGCAGCTCCACTTCTAGATGCTCAAACCTTCATACCTCACACTTACTACCCAGGCTTCCTTGTCCAACTCAAAAACTGGTACTCCCGCGAGTACGGCGACTATCTCGTCATAGACAAGCCCCCTTTCTTCGTCGGACTCGTCTGCTTCGAGCTCATCTTCCAATGGCCTCTTGTTCTTCTCAATCTTTACGCCATTTTGACTTCCAAGCCCTGGTTAAACACCACTTGCCTGATCTACGGCGTCTCTCTGTCTACTTCCATGGTATGTATAATTAATTAGCTGTTCTTCAAAGGGTGGGTACGTATGCGTACAAGAAGACCTGTTTATTCTGTGATTTCATGTTTTGATTTCAGGTTGTTATATTATCAGACATGGTGGGTTCCGGAAGGGCATCCGCTAAGCTACTGATATTGTACTGCCCTTTCATGGCTTTTGGAGTCTTAGCAACCCTACGAGGGTTACTGTCACATTCCACTGGGACATATTCCAGTGTTGGCAAGAGGCCTGCGGTGCCCAGGAAAAAGCGAGCTTGAGATGGCTTTCGGGATCGAAACTGTGCAACAGAATTTGCAGGTATGAATGCAATCAATCATAGTGTCAAATTTCTGTCCTAAAAGGTATTCCTCCTCATCATAGTTGAGCTAGTAGATTTGAGGCCGTCATTGCCTGTTTTAGATCAGAGACAGATTTTTGGTCTGCTTGAAAACGCTGACCAAAGGAATCAGTGGTAGTTATTTATTACTCCTCCGAGGGTCTTATGTTTAGGACTGGATTACACGGATTTTGTGGTGTGGCTTCACTGGTTTCATTCATCTCCTGCAGTATTTTTTTTTTTTTTGGGAAAATTTCATTTAAGTCCCACAATGTGGACTTAATTTCTAATGAGTCTCAAGATATTCTAAAATTTGTTTTCAGTCTCCCTACCCCAAAATGAAATTATGTTTGAAAGTAAAAGGATCATGTTGCCTATCAAAATTTGAACGAGAAGGAAGGGGTTGATTGGGGTTTGTTTTACACGCTCGACAATTTACAATAAATAATGGGAAAATTACAATTAAAAATATAAAAATTTATAACAAATAATAAAAAACTAACAACTCCACGCGTAAAAATTTGCAACAAATAATAAATAATAAAAAAATTAACAACTCTATATATGGTAATTTACAACAAATAATTGAAAAATAACAACCGGAAATATGAAATTTTAAAACAAATAATAAAACATTAACAACTCCATGTACGGAAATTCACATCAAATGATAGAAAATAAAAAAAAAATCACATATGGGAATTCATAACAAATAATAGAAATTAACAACTCCACATATGGAAATTCACAACAAATAATGCTATATTAACAACTCCACATTTAAGAGTTTACAACAAATAATAGCAAATTAATAACTTTTCACAATAAATAACAGAAAATTAACAACTCCACATATAAAAAGTTGCATCAGATAGTAAAAAATTAACAATTCTATATGTGGGAATTCACAACAAATAATACTAAATTTCTGCAGGTGTGGAATTTCTGCACGTCAAATATCTGCAGGTCAAGCTTAGAGTTAGGTGGGAAATTCACTATCAAGCTATAGGTTGAAAGACGAGTAAACAGCAGATGTATGATCTCAGATGATCGAACTCCTTACTCTACTTGATCTCTATATCTAACATAAAGCCCGAGTCTTAGAGAAAGGGGACGCCTTCTGTTTTCTGAGAAAGCTGAGGGAAAGAGGGACAAGGTTTGTGAGAGGGGCATTTGGAAAATGGGTTCTGCAGTTAAAGTGGTTGACGTCATTCTGTTCTCTTACATGCTCATAATAGCGCTGGCATGTGTACTTATATACTCTCAGCTCCTTCTCCCTCAAGCTCTCTACCCTCATTTCCTCGTCCAGCTCAAGAACTGGTACATCCGCGAGTATGATCACTATCTGATGGTAGACCAGCCCTATTTCTATGTTGGACTCGTTTGGTATGAGTTCACCTTTGAAGTGCCACTCATTCTTCTCAATCTTTACGCCATTTTGACTGCCAAACCCTGGCTCAAAACCACTTGCTTGATCTACGGTGTTGCTTTGTCTTCTGCAATGGTATGAGTAGCAGCTTTTTAGTGTTCACGCATCTGTGTGCAAGATCTCTGGTTTTTCTGTATGTGTTCTCATTTTCTAGTTGTTCTTGCAAACTGTGTTTCAGGTTGCTCTGCTATCAGAAATGGTGGGTTCTGGAAGGGCATCTGCTAAGCTATTGTCATTGTACGGCCCTGTCATGGGTTTAGGAGTGTTAGCTATCCTGCGAGGTTTAGGAGTGTTATCTGGCAAGAGCCCTAAAATGTCCACCAAAAAGCGACTTTGAGATTGAAGTAATTGGTCTCTCTTCGATCTGCGCCTCTTTTCTATCTCTTCCTGGGATTTGAAAAGGATTGCATGTTATGTTAATCATGTCACGGTGTTTCTTTTCTGCTGGTGTGTTGACTTGTGGTACATTATGTTAATTGTTGGGATTTGTTTAATAAAATGTTTCCCATCTTTTAAAAATTTTATCTTGCACCAAACGAGAAAGGAAGTAGGTTTCCATCGCCTTAACTTTTTTTGGGGTGTTTGGCAAACTGATAAAAAGTGTTTTTGGGCTTCAAGCCATGGTTTGGCCCAAAAAATCCAAACACCACAATTTTTGACAAAACTTTGGTTTGCATTTGGCACCAAACACCTCAATTTTTATATATTAATTACGTTAAATCCTACTACTACAATAATTTTTTAATTATAAACCAAGGACTTAAAGAAATAATTAATGTAACAGATATTTCCTAAACTGATTTATATATAAAATCAAGAAACTCTTATAGAATATGATTATTGATTAATATTAAATACGAAAGGAAGTAAAAATGTATAAAATTTTAATATGAACATATTTTAATTTAATCACTACATATACGAATGCTATGATAAAAGGGGTGGGGCAGATTTTCTGCTTGGAATTAAAAGAAAAAACCTTTTTTAATAATTTTTTTAGTAAAATTACCTATAATAAGTAAATAATGCACAATTATTCCCCCGATCAAATTAAAACAAAATCCAACTTTTGTTAGCACTTCTGATGAAATAGCAACCTCCAACAAGAAAGCATATTTCCAGAAGATGAAACCAGTGAAGCCACGCCAAGAATCTGCGGACCTGATCTTTTTATACTAGTTAATAACCACTAGTAATTGTTTTGGTCAACGTTTTGAAGTAGACCAAAATATACCTCTTACAAAATCTATCTATGATATAAAGGAGACAATGAAGGCCTCAAATATACTGGCTCAAGTATGATCAACATGAATCAATGGCAAATTGTTATAGTGCTAAGGCTATTCGTTACACTTGGACGAGGTCCTAAATTCGAGTCCAGCGATAACGTGTTTGTGTATATATGTGTTTAATTGTATAAAATAATTTTTTTTTCCAAAAAAAAGTATGATGAACAAGAATCTCTTTTAGAGCAGAGGAATTTGACGCAATTCACAAATTCCTCAGTTTCCTGGGCACGGCAGGCTCCGTGCCAACATTGTAAAATGTGAATATGTGACAGTCATTAACCCTCGTAGAGCTGCCAAAACTCTAAAGTCTAAACCCATGAAAGGGAACCACATCATCAACGTAACAGCTTATCAGATGCCCTTTTGGAACATATCATTTCTGATAAAATGGCAAACAGAGCAACAAGTCCCTCGTACTGATCATCATTTCATGCTAGATAACTACTAGTAATTGCTTTGTTCTGCGTTTTATTATTGATTTTGGTCCTCCCAATTCAATGACAAGAGAACTAATGCAAGCTGCTTAGTCATTTACTTCCCTGCCGTATATGGATCCATCTGATGAAATGCCACATGTTCTCTCATTTTTCTCCCCGCCCTCAAAATCACTGGAAAATGGTTGAACAATGGCTTAAGCTATGGGCAACAGAATCGAGCCACTTTTCCAAATAAGGGAGACGGGGGTTCTCAGTTCTCCAAAACAATTCGATTAATTAAGCAAACTAACACTTGGGAAGAGACCTTATATACTCTTCTGAAACGCTTCTCTATATAATCCTCATAGAATAGGCAAATGTGACAAGTGGAATAAACAGGAAGAGAGCAAAGAAAACTGTGCAATATTCTTTAATATATGACTTAATTTTAGTTTTAAATATATGACTTATTTCTTATAGCTATCAATTTTTTCTAAATCATCCTTATTGATACTCTCTCAACTATAATCAAGTATGAGAGGGAGGGAAGATATAATGAAGATGATTAAGGTATTTTAGGAAAAACATATCATATTTATTATAGTTAACTGACTTACCTAACTTTTTTAATATAATCAAATTAATTAAATAGATATTATATTAAGGATCGGGGAGTACATAGCATCCCAACGCACGCATAAAATGATAGGGCATACACCAAAGGCCAGAAGACCATTATTAGCGTGCGCGGATGACATAGTTGTAAGACTAATATCTTCACATGAGATAGGTGTGATGAATGTGAAATATCTGCAAGTCAAACTTAGAGTTGATGTGTGTGAAATATCTACAAGTCAAACTTAGAGTTAGGTGTGAAATTCACTATCAAGCTATAGCTTGAAAGAAAGAGTATAAAGCATACGCAAGAAAAGCACGATCTCAGATACTGAATTTGTAAGCCTTACTTTATCACTAGATCAGAGTAGTGCCAGGGAAAATGGGCTCTGTGGAAAAAGCGGTAGATGCCTTCCTGTTCTCTGGCATGCTTGTAGTAGCAGTGGCATGTGTACTTATATACACTCAAGTCCTTCTCCCTCAAGCTCCCTTCCCTCATTTCCTTGTCCAACTCAAGAATTGGTACGTCGACCGGTATGATCACTATCTGTTGAGAGAACGGCCCCCTTTCTTCGTTGGACTCATCTGGTATGAGTTCCTCTTTGATGTGCCAATCATTGTCCTCAATCTTTACGCCATTTTGACTGCCAAACCCTGGTTCAAAACCACTTGCTTGATCTACGGTGTTGCTGTGTGTACTGCAATGGTATGATGAGTAGCACTTTTTCTGGTGTTCATGCAAGATCTGGTTTTTCTGTGTTCTCATTTTCTGATTGATTTTATAAACTGTGCGTTTCAGACTGCTGTACTACCAGAAATGTTGGCTGCAGGAGAGAAATCTTCTAAGTTGATGTCAATATACATCCCTCTCATAGGTTTAGGAGTGGTAGCAGCTCTGCGAGGTTTGCCATCTCATTCCATATTTGGCATGAGCCCTGAAGCGTCCACCAAAAAGCACGTTTGAAGTTGAAGTAATTGGTCTCTCTTCTATGGATTTGAAAAGGCCTGTAAGGTGAAAGCATTGTCACACCTGTCACCTGCCGTTAGCATGTTTTTGTGATTTTTTGTGTTTAATTGTATTACATAAAAAAACAAAAAAAATTGTCAGTGTTTGCTTTGTGCTGTTGCCTTGACTTGTTGTACGTAGGATTGATTGCTTGGAACTGTTTGATAAAGTGTTTCCCATCATTTTTTCAATTTTATCTTGCACCAAATGAGAAAGAAAATAGATTACTTAATTTCCCTTGCATGGAAATTGGAAAATAACCGGTTCCAAATGTGATGTGTCAATATGCCTAGATTCATCAACCTAATAATCAGTTGCTTGTATACTTAATAATAAGGTAAATGAAAAGCGTCGGATATCGGATGATAATATCAAATAAAAAGTTAAAAAATAGGTTAAATTATTAAATTTATAAGAAAATTCTAGTACTTTCTACCATTATTCTAATATATTAATGACATTAACTCCTAGTATTATGATAATTATTTTAATTCCAAACGAGGGGCTTACAGAAAATAATTAATGTGACAGACATTTCCTGAACTGATTTATATTTAAAATCAAGAAACTCTTGTAGAATATGATTATTGATTAATATTAAATACGAAAGGAAGTATAAATGTATAAAATTTTTAATATGAATATATTTTAATAGTTATAATAAAAGGGGCGCGCGGGGCATAGCCCTGGTGTGGTGCCTAATTATTCTTGGTGCCTGAACTTTATTTTTGGTGCTCCAAAGATGACATCAATAGTTATAGCGTATTTTTTGTTGGAACACTGAGCCTAGCGGTGTGTTTGTTTATGAAAATATTATTTGTTTAAAACAAAATCCAACCTTCTTTTTTTGGTAGGCAAATTTTAGAAAAAAAGGTCGAGTTTTTTTTGGATTTTAAAACAAAATCCAACTTTTGTTAGACACTAATATGCCATGCTCGGAACATGGCATTTCTGATAAAATAGCAACCTCGAAACAGCTAAAAAAAGAGAATAAAAAAACATATTTCCAGAAGATGAAACCAGTGAAGCCACTCCACAAATCTGTGGACATGATCTTTTCATACTAATTGATGAACACTAGTAATTGTTTTGGTCAGCGTTTTGAAATAGACCAAAATTTATTCTTTACAAGATCTGTCTCTGGCTTAAAGTAGGCAATGAAGGCCTCAGGCCCTCAGATATACTAGTTCAAGCACGTTTGACAGAAGTCTGCCGCAAATTGTGATAATGCTAATGCCAATCGTTTCATTTGGATAAAGTCTTAACTTCAAATCTAACGTTGATATATGTACGTACGTCTATATGTTAAACTATATACTACCTCCGGTCCTAATTATAAGAGCCAGTTGACTAATTTGAGAAGATTAAAGAAGTAAGTTGAGTTAGTTATTTGTCCTAAATAAGTGTTATTTTTCCTAAAATATTCTTGCTAATCAAGTATATTGACTATAACTCTCACTATTAGAATGGCCATTTTGGAAAGAAATGTATAAATATGAGAGACAAAGTGGATTGGGGTCTTATATTTAGGACCAAAATAAAAGTCAAACAGGGTCTTATATTAAGGACCGGAGGTAGTAAAATACTACCTCCGACCCTTAATATAAAACCTCATTTGATTTTTATTTTGGTCCTAAATATAATATCTCAATCTATTTTGTCTCTCATATTTATTAATTTTTTTCAAGATAATCCTTCTAATAATGGTATTTATAGCCAAAAAACTTGATTAGCAAGGGTATTTTAGGAAAGACAACATCTATTTATTACAAATAACTAGCTTAATTTATTTCTTTAATTTACTCAAATTAATCAATTAGCTCTTATACTATTATAACAGAGATGATAATTTTTTTTTAAAAGGGGGTGATGAACAGGAATTCCTTCTACAACAGAGGAATTTGACACAATTCGTAGCCGTCGTAGTGTTGCTAAAACCCTAAAGTTTAAGCCTATGAAAGGGAACCGCATCATCGACGTAACAGCTTATCAAATGCCCTTCTGGAACGTATCATTTCTGATAAAATGGCAAAACAGAGAAGCAAAGAGTCTTTCATACTGATCATCATTTCATGCTAAATAACTAATAGTAATTGCTTTGCTCTGCGTTTTATTATTGACTTTGGTCCCCCCCAACTACAAGACAACTAATGAAAGCTGATATTCATGTGCTTGCCTTCCACACACACACACACACAGAGGTCCATCTGATGAAATGCCTTGTTCTCTCGTTTTTCACTCGAGAAATTGGCGTGGAATTTCTACAGGTCAAATATCTGCAGGTCAAACTTCGAGTTAGATAGCAGAGATTTTCTTCTCCATAGCGCGGAACTGTGATGAAGACGTCAAATGAAAATAACACAGCGGCAACACCCATCAATCCAAGCGCATGTAAAAATCATGGGTTTTCCGTTGAAAATCAGCTCAATTATGATCAAAATAAGATACAAATGAGTCTCAATTAAATTGACGCATTCAATGTTTCAAACCAGCTGACCGAATTTCAGCTCAATCTAGCGATTAATGAATGTGCAAATATCAATTTATCTCGAGATTGCCCCGCAAAGGTATAAAAATGACTCTCTTTTCTCTCAAATGGCTGCTCTCTTTCTCTTAACAGGTTCAAACCCCTCGGCCTAGTCTCACCCCCTCTACCTTTTTTTTTTTTTGGGACTAAAATATAGGTATTCTTCTATTCAATACAATCCTATTTAATGTACTGTCAAACACTAAATGTGAACACTTTTTTTAATAAAAATTTAAACTTTAATTTGTCATATTATGAGAGATTAGTCATTCTGCTAGATCTCATCTCGTTGATGACCCCTCTATTTTTACCAAGTAAGGCATAAATAAGTGTCAAATATTTGAGCCTTTCCCTGTACATGGGAAGAGAGCCCATGCCCACTGGGCTCCCTGTTCTGCACGCCATGGCTTGCTCCTGCCGCGAACACTCTGACTCGAGAAAACGTTATTTTTGTGATCCAAATATGATGTCGATAGTAATAGCGAATTTTTTGTTTGAAGTTTGGGCCCGGTGTATTTGTTTCTCAAAAAGGCTATTTGTTTTCTGTTTTTTCCCCATGATGAAATTATTAGAACAAAATCCAACTTTTGCTAGATGCCAGCATGCCACGACAAAACCTTTGGACGAACAAATTGACACTAGTCTTTCTTTTTTTTTTGGGGGGGGGGGGGGGAGGTTAAAAATATAATCAAGAATAAAACGCATAACAAAGCAATTACTAGTAATTATTTAGTACGAAAAGATTAGTGTGAGAGACATGATGCTTCTATTTTTGCCATTGCATCAGAAATGAAGGATTCTAAAAGGGCATCTGATAAGCTGTTGACGACGTAGTTCGCGTTCATGGGTTTACGAGGGTCAATTACCGTCACATATTTATTTCCAACGTTGGCAAGAGGCTTTCAGTGCCTAAGAATAAAGGAATTTGCAGAGTATTATGAATATTGTGTCAAATTTTTGGGTCGTCCCAAAAGCAATTCCTGTTCAAGTTATTACTTGACGTCGTGTATTCGTGAAGGTGATATAATCGGTATTTTCATCAATCAATCCTAAAACATCCTCGACATTTAGCAGCCCCCGCAGGCCTTCCGCTTCCTTAATTAATGCTGGAAAAGCAGATTTAATGTCAAATAATGGAGCTTATTCAAGTTTGTTCCTTCGATAGTTCAATTAAATAGGTGCAATTTGATCAGTATAATTAATCCAGGAGTCACAGATTTTCCCTCCCACGATATTTTGGGATGAAGTTCATAGCCGTACAACAGGCCATAATTGGGGGGGAAAAACTTTCTTAACAAACCTTAATTAATAAAGACTACATAACAAACACTTGCTGCTTAATTTGTAGAGAAATGATAATAATAAACAAATTAAGTGGGAATAAGACATGGCAGAAAAGGTTATTCCATTTCAAACGCCCTTGAAAGGGACAAATGGTGTGTGATACGGGGCATGCTTCCCATTATCAACTAATATTTCTAAAACATGCATATAATAACAATTGAAGTAATAAAAGAGTCAACATTGAAGTTAATTGAAAACCTACCCGATCACCCAAAAAAAAAAAAGGAAATGAAAACTAACTAATTAATTCTACCAATGCTTGCAGTTTTTTTTTTTTTAATTTAATTAAGCACACAGTTAATCCAGCTGGCTGGGGGAAGTCAATTCCCGAACCTTAATCCTCTGAGCACTCTATTTTTCATAGGTTTCTGAGAAGGAATCATGCAAGGTGCGTTCTTGACTTCACCTCATTCTTCGATATTCGCCCCCATCGATCACCACCACCCTTTTCTTCTTTCATACTCTTCTCTACTCTTGACCTAACCTTCTTCTAAACTGCGCGGGTTAACATATAAACACAACAAACCACGTAGATGCAGCAACAGCAAGATTCAGTGACTAGTTCTTACAAAAGCGAAAACAAATATGCAGATAAACAACGTAGGACACAACAAACATGCACAGCTTACCAGGCTTTTAATTTATTAATTAGTTCTAGAGTAGTATTGTTGATGATGATCAAGCAGCTTCGCAGGATAAAGAAGCCTTAATTCTCTCCACAGTGCAGGCAATAAGGTTGTTGACGGTGGCGACAGATCCAAGAGAGAGCTTAGCAGTGGGTACGGAATCAACCAAGATTTGAAAAGCAACGGTCAAAAGGGATCCGCCGTGGCCTGTTTCAACGATGGCACCTCCATGAGGCGTGGTGCCATCGGGTAGGATAGCAAAACCCGAAGGAAGAAGTGCCACGTAATCAGGATCCCCTCCATTCAGCACCACGTTCATGGCTACTATATCTACAGGAGCATATATGACGAAAGACCCCGTTGAGTCGGTGCAGCTCTCTTGCAGTATCAACATATTGCTTTGGCTCGAATTTGCACTCTACAGAGTTCATACATAATCATGGCATGTAAGACTTCACTTACAGATAATAAATATTTGATTCCTTTTATAAATGAAGACCGACGCACTCACATTCACTCGGAGAAGGGACACACAATTCCCGTATCTCGTCCGTTAGCTATGTGTGCCATTTCTTGGACCACCCCACCGTTGGAAAGAATATCCCACTGTTAATTAATACGAAAGTTTTCAGAATATGGATGAATTAATCTCTGGAGAGTCCATCGGCTTTAAATTGGGACAAAGTTGCAGTGTTGTGGTAAATAATGTGCGTATTACCTCACTTCTGGAGTTTTCATCACGGAGGAAGTCAAAAACTCGCTCGGGGGGAACAGGAAGCCAGAAAGAGGTTGCGGCACTTAGAACAATACCAGGAGGTCTTCCCGGGTCGTCCACGCTCTTTCGGGTCATGACCCGAACATCGTCCGCCCCGGTTCCAGAGAGTGTTGTCCATGTGTGAGCCGTGGAAGCGCTCACTCCCGCACAGAAGCTTATCACCATTCTCTCCGCCAGCTTCAACATGCTCCTCCTCCCGTCTTGGTTTGTTATCACTAGTCAAACGATGATGAAAGAGGATTAATTATTTACGTTAATTGTCACCTCGCGATCAATGATTTAATCAAGGCTGATTATATATACATATATATACCTCCAACATCAGCAGTGGGAATGTTGGAAGCCATGGCACTAGCAAGCCTTTCGCACTGTCGATCCAAGGTGGCAACCCATCGTTTTGCACCAAAAGCGTGGCCTGAACTAACGAGCTGCTTGTATAGACTATGTACACCTCTATCATCCACTTCTACATGTTCAATCCACGTCACCTAAGGCACCCAAAAAAGAAACCAATAACAAAAGAGAAAGCTCTTTGAGAAAAGATCAGAGACGGTCCGATGATACGTGCGTGTGTGTAAACTATGTATATATGTTGCTACCTTGGAATAGCCATTGGGCATTTCTTGGATTAAGCAACCAGAAGGTCGTCTTCTACATTTGACAGGAGCAGTGCTGAGATGGTCGAGAGAGACGTCCACTACTGCCCATGTGCCGTCAGCGTGCTGCTTACAATACCTCACGAAATAACTCTCTCGAGTTGGCACTAGAGGTGAAGGCACTTGCAACTCTGCTGTCATCTGCAGAACATAATGTGGATATCCAATAATATATTTCAAAATTATCAAACCTCGATCTCCGTCTTTAACTACATACATATAAATACCATGTTTGCTTTTGACACACACACACGGACATATGTAGTATCGTGCTTACCACTTGCAAGGCACCGTTGTAGTTCCCGGCCACCCCCGTTGATAGTACTTCCATGGTCATTGCTCTTGACACTATGCCAGAGAACACTGTCGACCACTGGTTCTGAACAAAATAACGTCAATGAGACTTAACGTAGTGTACATTGAGTGTTTTCTATTACGTTATTTAATAGAAACACTTCGTGTGGAAGAACTCTTTTAAAGCAAACGACAAGAAAGAGCTTATATACATATTCCTCTGGGTCAATGATAGTTACACATGCTTCATTATCGATCCGTGTGATTAGCTTCGACTTAACGGTCAAATATTGGAGAAGCCACAGAAGAGCAGAGAAAATTAAATTAAAAAGCACACACACATATATATATTTATATACATACCACATCCATGAGAATCTCGACGAGGTTGATGTGATTCATGATGACAAGTGCAGTTTCTCGTGAAGCTTCGCATTTCAAGTCGCTGGGTTTAGGTCCAATTCCTCGAGGAAAAGACCTCATGTACTCTTCCTCATTGAGCACAGTGGTGGAGCCATCGAGGGTGGTCATCCAAAGAGGCTCCCCCATCTGAGCCATTCTCACCAGTTCTTCCATGGCCGCAACAGCAAGCTCTATGATCATCGGCTTATCGGCTTCTGTGAGTCCACTTATGGACCTCAAAAGATCTCCGGCTCCTCCATACATGTCACCGGTGCCGCCAGCAATACCTGCCTGTCCGCCATAACCACCGCCAACCCCAAGCTCTAGAGGACGAGGTGGAACCGAAGATGGAGAGAGTAGCGGATAGTTCACCACCGGCTTCCCTACGTACTTGGCAGCAATTGCGGAAATTCTATCAATCTGATCATCATCAAGGCAACCGATTCCAGAATCATCAGATATAACGCCACTTTCACTACTAAGTTTTTGACCAAAGTTTACTATTTCCTGGATGAATTTTTTAATCTCTGCCCCGTGGCACTGCAAAATATTTTATCCGTCTTTATCATTCATTAAAATACTTGTAATAGTAATCTTTCATCTCATTTCTTACTTATTATGGCCACCCATTAATCAAGTTCAAATTTGGTAAATGACAGTAATATCTAAATTAGCAAAACTTTGTCACGGAATTTTGAAAGAAAATAAAAGGAATAAACTTTTGATGATTGAAATGTGAAGTTAACTTTTATTGAGAAGACGTATATATAGTCCAGCAGTTTCTAGACAGAGGAAAATCTGAGGGCGAAGAAGTTCTACTTTATTTGGCAAGAAATTATTGTACCTCTTCTCTTAGGCGGGCATTTTCGAGTCTCAAATGATGTTCATCGAAGGACATTTCTCCTATAGCGGTTGGTCCACCACAGTTAGGACAAGAG